CAATTAAACATGAGATGCCAGCAAAACGTGAACCCCCGGCCATATTTTCCATTAGTAGTAATAATAAAAGATAATTATTGAGCCTGTCTGTCAGGTATTCCAGACAAGGGTACCTCTACTTAATTAACTGCTAATTGAGATATGAAAGAACGGTGATGTGAGCGCACACCCTGGCTTTATTAAGCCTCAGGAAGTCTTTCCCAGAGGGGGGGGAAAACCCTGACTAGTGAAGCTGAGCCCGTCCCTGGGTGAGAGAGGATCTGAGGAGGTGTCACCTGTGCCATCTTGCTCCGGGAGAACACCGAGGAGGCTGAGGTGGGGAAGGGAGTTCTCCTGGTGCTCTGCGCCGAGCTCATCCCCTGACGCGTGTTAACGGAGTCTTCATGGTCATCCGGGGAACGCTGTCCCCATTTCACGGGTTAGAAAACGATGCTGAGCTGGATTAAGTAAATGTATCTTCTAAAAGAAGGTGGGTGGCTGGAACGAGAGAGGGTTTGAGCCAGATCCTGTGCATTCCACATGTTGCTCCAGCAGATGCTAGAGACAGACACGTCGTCGTCCATGTCTTTACCATTAGTGACAAGGCAGAAGGGCACCCATGGCGGCTGCTCTGTTTGCGTGCCAGCACCCACGCCCTAGGGGGCCCTCCCACTTGAAACCGGAGAACCCGCACAGCCAACAGAACGTGGCGGACACAGTGACGTCAGTCACAAAGCCACCGAGGCCCTTCCTGAGACTGCTCCTGCACAGGAGCCAGCACCACATCGTAAGGAAACTCAAGCAGCCTCACAGAGATCCTCACGGGAGACACGGAAGCCCCTTCCAACCACCAGCCTCCCATAAGCGAGCCCTCTTGGAAGCAGACCCTTTATCCCAGTAGGTCTTCAGGTGACTGCACCCCATGACACTGAAACCTCATCGAGGACCCTGAGCCAGAACCCCCCAGACAGACCACCTGTTGATTCCTGGCCACAGAAACTACGCCATACAACAAATGATTGTTTTAAGCCACTGAATTTAGGGATGATTTGTTATGCATCAGTAGGTAACAAATTGAGAATTCGTGAACTTTTCACAGCCTGCTAACTGCAGTCCTGCCAATACCAGGGGGTCAGAGAAATTCTTCTGAGAAACATTCACATTTGTATGCCTGAAAGCACGGGTCTGAGATAACAGCCATTCAGGGTCCCTCCGGGTGGGAGCCCCAGTGAGTTGCAGAGGGAATGTGGGTCAGACGGCCAGTCGTTGCCCAGGTTTCCCACATTCTCATTAAGATGACGGAGTACGACTTGTTGATGGGTCACTCACGTCTGGCCCACTGTTCAGCACCAACCGCTGTGAGAATGGAGGAAAAATGAATTGGCCATATTTTCGGGTACTGGGTAATTTTGTCTAGAGCTGGCCAGCATCCTAGGAATCAAAGAGCTATTACTGGGACATCTCCAGCAGTGCTCAGCACACAAGCCCACACCATCCAAGCACCAAGTTGAAACTGAATACCGCAATGAACCGATGCTGTGAAGACTGAGGTCCCAGCGGTGGCACTCTGCTGTCTCACCTGGCCTGGCCGGTGCCTTGTTTTCTGCCCACGATTCAGCTAAGTCAAAGGGGAAAACCTACAAGGCTTTGGAAAACATCTGTGATTGAAGTCGATCTAGACTGCCCAGATCCTCAGTCCTGCCTGGGCAGCCAGGGCAGAGAGCCCACGCCACGAAGCCCCAGGCCAGCCCCCTGTGTGGCCGAACTCAGCTTCCATATAAGAGGGGTCAGCAATGGATGAGAAAGGAAAGTGCCTTACACATTTTATGAACTTATTTTATAGAAAAATTTTTTTTCAAAGATGAGCTGTTGCAAGTTGACCCTAGAAACTGCTGGGCACCCAAGAGGCGAAGAGCTGGTGAGCCAGGGCCAAGAGGAGTGCGGAGGAAGACGCTCATTGGCCAAAGTCCACCCAGCAGGCCCTGGGTTCTTGCCTGTCTCTCTCCTGGGGCCCCTGCCTCTCCCGCAGGGGCCTCTGGAGGTGTGAGGCCGACGGCATGAGGCAACATGAGGCCCGTGGCCACCATTTCTCTCAGCTCAGGGTTTCGCCTCTGGACTTGTTACCACAGGAGCACTCGCCAAGGTTGTGACACACCAGCTTCAATTTCCGTCCTAATTGTCCTTTGCTTTTTCTCCAATGTGAAAATTTGCTCTGAGATAAGGCCTTTGTGTGATATATTAGGGCTGTACAACTTGTTAATCAAATGAAGCCGGTGTCGTGGTGAGGCAGCATGTTATATCACAAGGCCCATTATACCGGGTTTGTGATGAGCTTTATGGTGACAGGCAAGTGTGATTATGACTTCAGGAGCGTTGGCACATGCTTGTTCAAATTCAACTGGCCACAGCTCAGCCCACAGTTGGAAACCTGTGTGTGTGTGTGTGTGTGTGTGTGTGTGTGTTACTATGGCCAGCTCTGAGAGACAGGAGTTCTGTGTCCTCTTCTTTGTGTTCTCAGTGCCTGGCATGGGCACTGCCAAGTGACCAAAAACCTAAATGAGCTCACATATCCACGTTCCACGTGTCTGCATATGCATGGGTGGCTGTGGCAGGAAGTGTGTAAGGACATGTTCCATGCCGTCAACGCGGATTGAGAGTGTGGGTGGCGCTGGGAAGGAGAGGAAATGGTTAAAGCCAAGCATCAGAGAAGAAAGACAGTGTTGCCGAAAAGCCCGGGCACCTAGCATGATGCTGGAGTAAAAGAATTTGTACTTATGCAAAAGCAAGCTGAAGGGGTGGAGTTCGTGCATTAAGTCAGAGCAAGTTGCACAGGATTTCAGTAAAAAACTACAAACAGAATACCCTGTATATCTGTGATCTATGCATCATCAGGTTTAAACAGGCAAAGGGGAGGCTATATATTGTGGGTGCTGTGATTCCACCCAACAGAGACAATTCCCCAGCTGCTGGGAATGTTGGCTGCCGGCAGCTCATGTTGAGTTTCCTTCCAGGAATTGACCTCAGCTAAAAAGCATGTCTTTACCCAAAGATGCATCCACTCAAAGACTGGCCTATATGCCACCCAAAGGCCTGGATTCCTCCTCACTGCAGAACAGAGCAACCTCCAGGGGTTCAGCTTCCTGTGCTCCCCCACAGATGCTAGGTCCCACCAGAATGTACCAGTGACCCTTCTGTGCACATATTAAGTTTTGTTCTTCCATAAGGTGGAAAGATACATACCAGTTCTATTAAAGTGTTACCTAAGGGACCAAGGTAGGGAGAAATGATTAGTTTTTGTGTATGTCTTCCTATTATTGATTCCCTTATTGCAATAAGCATATATCACTTAATTTCAAGAGTATTGAATGAAGAAATTTAAAATGTACTCAACAAACATGTCAAATGAATGAATGTATGATCTCACTTTCTCTTGTTGGAGAAATAGATAACAATTAAATAGCACATTGAAGGTGTTCAGTGTGTAAAGAACTCAACTGAAGGGGATTTTGCCAACACTTTGGATAATGCTTGACTAGTTGATTCAGAAGATCTTGGGCTAGCTTTCTGAGAGTGAGGTCAGCATCTCACAAGTAGGATAAGAAAAAAGTTACTAGGTGGAAGAAAAAAGGAGGGGGTGAGTTAATTCTATGAAACAGGAGAGATGGTCTAGTATCAGACCTATCTGCCTTCAAAACGAGCTAAAATATTTTGCAGCTACTATCCAAATTGCACTGTCTGAGAACTTGTCAGTTTTTAAATTTTCTGAGCAGATAGATTTGAATTGGAAGAGGGAAATCTCTGGCATTTATATGACCTACAACATCTCTTTGTCTCAAGTATCAGCAAAACCATCCATGAATGACCACTGCCTTCCTAATGACCAGCCCCAGAATCCTTTGCTCTCCTTTCCCTCCAGGGAGCCCAGGCTGATAAGCTGGAGCACTTCCCAGAGATGGACTCTATTTGTCCCTCCAGAACTGACGGTCTTTGCCCTTCCTCCAATTCTGAGGTTCCATGCGGTTCTCGGGAGAAGGCGGATTCATTCAGGACTGATTCAGATGAGCAGGTCTATACCTTAGCCAAATGCATGCCTCTTAGTTGCCAACAGATCTTTGCAAATGCATCTTCTTTAGGCGCCTACAGATGAGATCCCTGAGGCTCAGTGTCTTGTATGGAGAAGGCTTGGCAGGGTTTGAGAGAAAGAAGACCTTGAAAGCATAATTATTGAGCTACTAACTGTCCTGACAGGTCCCTGGGAGTTGTGTAGGGGAGGCCTGGCCCCAGGTCTGCACAAGACCTTGGATTGAAAAGACTGACAAGTTCCCACTTGCAAGAGATGTCCCTCCTTCTGGTGATGGTGATTCAAGCTGAGAGAATCACTCTTTGTTTTGCATTCATTCATTCATTCATTGAGTCTTTGTGGAATGTCTCTGTGCTGGATTGTTCTTGGGATGAGTGCTAGAGTTGGGAGCAAGTCAAAGACTCTGACCTTGAGGAGAGTCCAGAAAGACCTTGAAAGCCCCAGTGAAAATGGCACAAATTAGGATATTTACAATAATCATGGCTTTTGTCATATTGGAATGAATGTTCAATGTGCTGAGGATGCTAAGGACCTTTTAAAGGGGGTGCAGGTTGGGAGGAAGGGGTTGGATGGGAGCTTCCTGTAGGAGGTATAAAGCATTTTTCATAATCAAATCATCTAAGAATGTGTTGAGGTCACCTTCAAAGAGCTTAGATTTGTTACAGAAAGCATATTCTAGATTTATAATCATTCTATAGGATTTTTATCTTAAACATTTGTCATTTTATTGCAAAGCTATGAGAATGAATGAAAAAATATGAAATGAACAAAACTCTCCATAGAATAAAAAAATGAGCAGCAATTTTCATTGCTTTAGAAATCAGCGCAGCACTTTGAACTTATTTACAAAGACAGAAGGTGTTTGGAATGGGAAGGGAAACCGAGGTTCCTTGTTACGTGGTCCTAACTGTATTTCTTCCTTGCTTTATCCCTGGTTCAGGCTCTGGCTCATCCCACTGCACAGAGAGCGATCTCTTCTGGAGTTAGGATTAAAGAGTGTGCAGACAGCAGCGAGAGGCAACCCCGAGACTCCATCACAAAAGGTACCATTTGCTTTGAACCTCTTGTCATTCATCACTCCAATGGCCAATTCCAGGCTTTCACTGGTAACTGCATATTCCCTGGGATCTGAGGCCCTTTGTCACTGAAACAACAGCCTGGGGGATAGTCTCCCTGACCAAGGTGGCCAATAGCATCAGTTCCACCAGGCTCCATGCCATCTCTGAAAATGCTGGAGAAAGTGGGTACTAAGGTTTTTGGCATCTCGTAAAATATTTCTGAAATGCATTTCATGATGCTCTTGGTAATAAAAGTATGCTACTGTGCTCGGTCCCTCCAAGAGGCTAGACTCGATTCCCAGCCCACCCGCGCCTGCACCGAGCCCGCATGAATCAGTGCTAAATTATTCACCAGCCTGACGCTAAAATTTCTGGAGTTCCAAAATCCCTCATAAAGTATTATGAAAAAATATCCATCTCTTTATCTCTATCCATAACTATTTATATGACTGGAGGAAAAAACCTGTCGTTTTATTTCTTTTAATTTAAAAGCTTTCCTAATTCCTTTTTCCTACCACATATATATGTCTAAAGAATTTTCGGGTTGAAATAATAAACTCTAAAAAATGGTCCGCGAGAGAAGGTGCGGATTCAGAGTTGATAGGCACGATGAATATTTTGCTCCCTTAAAGACTTTGCATGATGCTCACTGAATTGGGAAGTTTTCAGTAGGCATGGCCCTTCTCTATGGTACAGAATGGTGACAACATACCCACAGGCCTTCCCCCTGTTTATGCAATAGCTAAAGTTTGTTCGCAAAAACGTTACCTTCCCAAGACTCACAATGTCCCCACACATCCTCACTGTCTATCGTGATACTCTGTGAGTCTGTTCTGAAGCCCCACGTGTGAATCTACTCAGAATGTCCTCAGCAGCATCCTGCCTTTCTTGGAGACCCTTGACTACAAAGTACCCCAGGTCATTTATAACACCTTTGAACGTTCAAGGTCACAAGAGAGGACATCACACTCAGCTGATTGTCAGCCAGCCACTCACCTTAACTAGAGTGAGCTAGTGAATTTCTTGCTTCTGGGCTATCAGTGGGTTGGGATCAAGTTCTCTGCACCCGGAGCTGGAACAGGGTGGACCAGCTAGGCAGCAGTTGGAAGCACCTGTCAGAAAAGCATCACCGGAAATACATTAAGATAGAGATATGTTCACTTATCAGCACTGTGCTCAGAGAAAGTGCTTATAGAGATGAAGGCACGTTTGACAAACTGCTTGGATGGGGGATTAAGCTCCTTACTCAAAGAACTTGTTTAAATAAAAACACTCATCTGTAAACTGACTTCTAAGTAAGAATTCAAGGTGAGCATGAGATCCGGGGTGCTATCACCCTCTTCTCAACAGATGTTGAATAAATATTTAAGGAACATTGGTTTAAATGTGAGATGAGTTATTAGCAGACAAGAGCACCATGTATCTTAGTCCAGCCCTGCTGTCTAAGGCTTTAATGCGGAGGGTTGGAAGGATGAAGAAGGAGCCCAGGTTTCTGCATGACTCTGGGTGAAGCAGGCGAGGGGGGAGAAGAGACTAGGGATATGGGTCCCCACCACGTCCAGGGACAGCTTCACTCCAGCAGCGAGGACCCTGCCCTGGGTCTTACCTTTGGGAAACAACCCACAGCTGAAGCAGAGAATGCTCATGACCCACACGATGAGCTGTAGTGTCCTAAGTCACCGAGAGCCATACACAGAGCAGGACAAGCCCCCTTCAGTCCAGGGCCAGCAGGAGAGTCAGACCAAGGAGGATGTAAGGGGTCTGCCCCGAAGTGACTAACAGTGAGTCCTGCGGGTCTCCCGAGAGGGGAACTCCTCACAAGGCCACAGGGAGCAGTGTTCACAGGTGGTTCTTAGCAGCACCAGCTGCTGGGCCAATTAACTCCCAAAGCCACCTCCTGGCTGAGAGCCAGTCCATCTTCCCTGCTGCGACTTTGCACCTGTGTAGGACCAACCTCACGGGAGGGCAGGCCTTGTCCAGGTCGACCTTCTTTCCTGGGCACTTAGAAATGGCTTCTTACTGACAAGCTTGGTCCTGAAATGGTGGAGGTCACCAAACAGGAAGGCAGCCAGCGCCCCTGGCTCTTTGACTGTTCAAACCGAGGCGTGTCCACCAGGCTGCTCCGGCTGCCTGGCTCGGCCTGCCTCTGTCCTACCTCCAGTCCCCGTGCGTTTGCAGGCGGCTTATTTTAAGAGCTGATTAGATGAGCCCTTAATAACATTAGAACTTAAATGGCCCCAGATAGCCTTTCAGCTTCTTGCCAAATTGAGATAAATGTGATATTTGGGGAACTGAGCTCTCAGCTTCGTGGACTGCAGACGAATTCTGAGGTTACTTTACCCTCTCCTGTGCTTTTTTTGCAGCTGAAAGTTGGGTTTATATACCTCTATGGGGTCCCTTTCAGCTGAGGGTCTGTGATTCTGTGTGAAGAATTGCCTCCATGATCACATATTTTCAAGGAAAGCTAAGTTGGAGACAAGGGGCTTCAAACAGAATTATTTCATTTTATACAATCTATATGGAAAAATTCTCCCCTGTGCCCCAACACCTCTGGGAACTCTCAGTTCAGGCCACGACCTTTACTGATCAACTACTATTTAGCCATTTAATTCAATACTAATGTTGTTCATAATAGGCTTTGGCCAAGGATCACATAAAGCGATTAGAAATATGAGCGTTTCATTGCACAAAAACGTCCAGGGCCCTCTGTAACTCTTCTAGGAGGGTTTATTTCCAAAAAGGACAAACACATTTATCAAGTCAATAGTTATAGGCTTCCATTTTAATTCCCTCTGTAAATTTTAGAAAAAAGTAAAAACAGACTTGGACAAAGGAATTTTTAAAAGGTGGGTATAAACAAGCAGTTCAATGCCGAGGCAAAGGTATCCTTACAAACACACCCAAACTGAGTTGTCCTATCTCTCCTCAACCAAACCAGGCACACGGTTTCCCTGGAACTCCTAAAACCGTGGTCGCTCCTCTGGATGTGGGTGGCCATTCAAGAAATGCCTTTGAGCTTAAACTTCCCTTCGAAAAGCTTCATACCTGGAGATGCTCTTTCAGATGAAGCTAGACCTTGAGCTTAAACCTGGCCTTTGTGTTTGGGTGGGAAAGACCACCTGTCCTGTTCTCCTGAAAGGAGGCTGAGGATGCCCAGGAGCCAGGTTGGGAGAAGACAGGGAGGGACCTGGGCCCGGGCAGACTGTGAGCACATGGCCCCTGCTGCTCTGATCCCAAGCTCGTCCCAGCCTCTGGGGACAACTGAGGGGTTTCTGGAAGACTTGAACTGTGGCTGGGATCAGAAACTGCAATGGGATGTGAATGTCCAGTTTTGTGGACGTTGGGCAAAGCACAGCTCTGGAACCACCGTGTCTCGCTCTATCCCAACTCCCATCAGTGAGGGCTGGGCCACCTGCGGGGGAGAGGGAGGGCGCAGGACTTGGCAGAGCCTGCGGGCTTAGCCCTGCACCCTCGGGGCGTGCGTGTCCAGCTGGTGTGATGGACAGGCCTTTTCCAGGTCTGCGTGTGGTTTCGCTCAGCCTCCGTGGTTACATGGGAAGGGCAGTGCCAGTGGCAGGTCAGCTGGCAGTTCACCTGGTTGGAGCTCCCCTCTTCCTCTACTAAGTCCCGCCTCAGCCTCTGGTGCATTCCTTGCCTTCCACGGTCCCTCTTCTCGCTTCTATTCTGTCTCGGTTCCCTTTCTTCTGCCTATAGACAAGATTTGTCTCCATTAAAACCAACAAACGAAACCGCTTTTCCCTTGATTTCCTGACTGCGTCACCTCCTCTTATTCTGAGCTCTGTGGAATACTCTACATTCACTTCTCGCCTGTGTTCACCCTTTAATCCTATGGGAAATGGTGCATCCTACCCACCCACCCTGGCAACAAACCCCACATCATTCGACAGACGTTCATTGAGCACATGCTATGTGCCATGCCCAGGCTAGACCCCTAGCACAAGTAGGACACACTCTCCCAAGAAAGGCAAGCATGCCTACCCCTGCCCCCAAGGACAAAGTGGTGGTAAGTGGGGGGATGAGGCTGTGGAGAGGCAGGGTGAGAGTCTTCAGCCCCGTCTGGGGAGCAGGGACCAGCAAGGCAAATAAAGGAGTTCCCCGGGATGAATGCTTGAACTTGAACCCTCTTGTGAAGAAGGGAAGGTGGAGGGTCTAAAGGTGCGGGGAGGGACACAGAAAGACCCGGGAAGCAGCATGAGATGGACATCCAGAAAGCAGCACCTCTGAGTCCAGACGGAGGTGCTGGAGCCTGGACGAAATCGCAGCCCCAGGATGGCGAAGAGGGGCTCCCGCCGGCCTGCTCTGCTCCCCCGATCCCACCTGGACAAAGCGCTCTCTCTGCTCCTCCCTCAGAGTGTGTTCCGGGCTTTTTCTCCTGCGCTCACTTAGTTGTCTTACAGTCATTTGCTTCTTTCTCTATTATTCCTTATCAAATTGTACCTTTGTCTCCCCTTCCCCTAATTATAGTACCTGGCTCATCATTAGAGCTGAAGAAAAGGTTATTGAGTCGAATTGAATTTTCAAGAGCCTCAAACCATGAATAATTGAGGAATCAGCCATGTATAAGTGCTCATCATTTACATAATTGTGTAAACAAGCTGATAAAAAACTTTATTTTTCCCATTATTTTTATTGTCCCAGAATGCCCCGCTATCCTCCTCGTTCCCCGGGTTTCAGGGAAATAGGAAACACAGATTCCCAACACACTCAGGCTGCAGAGGAGGGGCCCGGTTCTCACCTCCACAAGCAAAGGAAGCAGTGAAGGGAGGGAGCAGATGATGGCATTGATGGACTGTGACAGCCACAGAAGAACGTCGAGAAAGACACTCTCCGAAGAGACGGAATCGCAGAGCACACTGTGTGACAGGCCACGTGCAGAGTCCCCAAGGTCAACGCACAGACACAAATTGATCACGCTAAGTACCTGCTGAAATCGCTTTCCGACTTACAGAGGAGCACTGATCGCC